GCGGAGCTTAATGTCAGTGAAATATGATCAATTCTTTAGATGCTTTAGCGCCATGGTTTAGTTCCGGGTTTCGCCTCCGTATAGCAAGAGACTCTTTATACAATAACAGAGACCAGTGATCAGACTTGTAAATTATTTTACAGTTGTTGAAAATTAATTGAGTAATATTAGTGTTTATAGGGTTAGATGCATCAGGTGAGAGTTCCATAAGAGTTTTAATGTATTGAAAATATTCACAGGAGTTGATGTGGGCGTTGATCTCTGAGTTTTCGCGCGTACTATGTTCTTTTAAACACGTGTAGAGACAGAGGTCCGTTTTGCCAATATAAATATGCTTCGGGAGCCCGGGCATGAAAATTCATAAACCACGGAGCTTTTTATATTCGTCCGGCGTCTTGTCTTTGCATGACAGGAAACAATTCGAGTTTGTGGTTCGCCAGTTCAAAATAAACTTACACAGACTCTTTAGCAAACAGCGTGTTTTACTCATAAACTTCTTTGTCAAGGTGTTGCCATAATTGCCAATGAACGGTAGTCTTATCCATATCTTGGGTAGGTTGTCTGGGGTAGTACTATCTGCTTGGTCGACGTGCGTGGTGTTATTATGTGTTTCGGTGCGTGGTGTAAAGGATTTAATTAGTTTATTAGCAAGGTTATTTGAGAAACCGTTCCAGGACATAAATTCTTTGATGGCTTTGAGTTCAGTAGCTGTGGATTGCTGCAAATTTTATATGCGCGGTTCACTAAGGCTCTAATCCATGCTGTTTTGCGTGACCATGGGGTAAAACTTGATAAGTGTGTGTATTGGCCGGTATGTGTCATCTTGCGAAAAATAGTTATGTCCGAGGTATTGATCTTTAGGTCGAGAAATTGCACATTGTTGTCAGGAAAATCTTCGAAGGTAAACTGGATTTGAGGGTGAAATGAGTTAAACATTTAGAAAGAAAAAATAGAACTGGATTTGAGGGTGAAATGAGTTAAACATTTAGAAAGAAGAAATAGAAAGTCCCTATTTACGAATGTGCCCCTTAAGAAAACCATCAATTTAATTCTAGATAGAATTTACAACAAGAAACAATTTAACACAACCCTAAAGAAACGAACATTGAAGAAACTACTGCTTGACTGTTGCACCAAGACTCCCTTCTCGATAAACGGCGAACTCTTTAAACAAGTCGACGGCATAGCCATGGGTTCTCCACTTGGCCCTACCCTTGCTAACATCATCATGACTAACTTCGAAGATGAAATTGTACGCCAATTAATCGACTCGAACATTATCAAATGTCCGCTATGTTGATGATACTTTAGTCCTCGCTAAACCTTCTGATATCCCGAAAATAATACAAATGTTTAACTCATTTCATCCAGTTTACCTCCGAAGATTTTGCTGACAACAATGTGCAATTTCTCGACCTAAAGATCAATACCTCGGACATAACTATTTTTCGCAAGATGACACATACCGGCCAATACACGCACTTATCAAGTTTTACCCCATGGTCACACAAAACAGCATGGATTAGAGCCTTAAGGTCCAGTTACACGTGCGATTTTTTTCTCGCGCCGGCAACACAACGCCTTTGCAACGGGTTAAATTTCATTGCGTTACTCGCGCAAGTGAAGTGGTGACACGAGCAATGATAGCTTAGCCCCGTCGCAACTATTTGCATGAAAAAACCGGTCACTAGTGTTTCGCAATTCGCAAACGTCACTGACAACAACATGGCGTCGAAGAAAGAACTTGTGGTAATATAGCTGCAATGCTTTTGCTGGAAGAAGATGACGATGAGATTAAAGAAAAGAAACGTATTTGGAGCCGGCACTGGCTCCTAGAGAGAAAAAACAAAGGTTATGTCGGTCAGCTTCTTCCCGATCTGGCTGCCTATGACACACCAGGATTTGAAAAATTTATGCGAATGGATTTTGATAATTTCAAAAAGATAGTTGATAATCTATCTGAAACGCTTTACAAGAAAGACACAATAATGCGTGAATCAATCAAGCCAGCAGAAATGTGTTGTTTAACGCTTCGATATTTGGCAGCGCTACAGCAGGCTGTCCGTACAGAAGCGAATTTCATTGACTATCTTAAAATAGCCCATGCGTTTCCTGCCCAAACAATGCCTGGGTAATTCGATATTTTGGGCAATCGTTGCCAAAAGTTCAAGCATTTCAACTTTCCGCAACGATTGCCGAGCATATCGGGTTGCAATTGCGTTACCGCGCCAGATATGTTACATGGGCAATTTCATCACCCGCGCGAGTAACGCAATGAAATTTAACCCGTTGCGTTGCCGGCGCGAGAATAAAATCGCACGTGTAACTGGACCTTTAGTGAACCGCGCATATAAAATTTGCAGCAATCCACAGCTACTGCATACTGAACTCAAAGCCATCAAAGAATTTATGTCCTGGAACGGTTTCTCAAATAACCTTGCTAATAAGCTAATTAAATCCTTTACACCACGCACAGAAACACATAATAACACCACGCACGTCGACCAAGCAGATAGTACTACCCCCAGACAACCTACCCAAGATATGGATAAGACTACCGTTCATTGGCAATTATGGCAACACCTTGACAAAGAAGTTTATGAGTAAAACACGCCGTTTGCTAAAGAGTCCGTGTAAGTTTATTTTGAACTGGCGAACCACAAACTCGAATTGTTTCCTGTCATGCAAAGACAAGACGCCGGATGAATATAAAAGCTCCGTGGTTTATGAATTTTCATGCCCGGGCTGCCAAAGCGTTTATATTGGCAAAACGGACCGCTGTCTCTACACGCGTTTAAAAGAACATAGTACGTGCGGAAACTCAGAGATCAACGCCCACGTCAACTCCTGTGTATATTTTCAATACATTGAAACTCTTATGGAACTCTTACCTGACGCATCTAACCCTATAAACACTAATATTACTCAATTAATTTTCAACAACTGTAAAATAATTGACAAGTCTGATCACTGGTCTCTGTTATTGTATAAAGAGTCTCTTGCTATACGGAGGCCAAACCCGGAACTAAACCATGGCGCTAAAGCATCTAAAGAATTGATCATATTTCACTGACATTAAGCTCCGCCTTTCTTCTCTTTATATATAGCTGTATTTGTAATCTTACACTAATCCTGAAGATGACTACAATCTAGTCGAAACGTAGATTCAATAAATCAAAACAAAATGTTATTCGGAGTTACTGTTCTTCTGTAGCATATATGACATAACAAAATATCGTCGCATTTCTAGTGGTAAGTAACTATAAATTAGGCCAATTTAAACTCGACTATGAAGAATGTCAAAAACTAAAGGTCATGTTTCAGTTTTATAAACCCAGACTTTTAAAAGTTTTATAAATATAAACATTAACGCTATACGAAGCCAATGAAGCCATGAATTGGAAGGCACATTTTGCCCTAAATACTCGGTCAGAGCCTCAAAGGTGTGTTCTAGTACACAATTAATCTTCTCTCACAGTTTAAAACAAACAATAATACTAACCTTTGACAAATTGTGTATAAATCTTATCGAATTTAACCATTTTGCCACAGATTTTGCCAAAAATATTTCTTAGATGGACAAAGTATTAATAAAGGACACTCCTTGTGTGAAAATGTTAATTTATCCCAAAGTTTGAATAAATTAATCCAAGATTGCATTATTTGCATAATAATGTACTTGTCATTGACCAATCAGAATACATAGAAGACCGGCCTGTGCCAGGGCCTTTTCCCGCCTTCCCAATGACAAAAAGGGAAAAGCCCTGGGAACAAGGTTGAAAGATTACCTATAACGTTTAAACAACATACCTTAATTGAAAGCAGCAAGAAAAACCACTTGTGAAACGTCAGTAAAGTTGACCAATATATCAAAGCAAGTCTTTCAAAGTTCTCTTTGCGAAAGCTGTGTAAACACTACGCTCTTGTACACTCAAAGACCTCAATTTATACAGTATATACGAAATCTGGTTTGAACTGGTGTTTACAACTTACAAGAATCATATTTTTTATTAAACATATACGACAAATGTTCCAAAAATGACCTCACTCTTATCCCTAAAAATGTTGACGCCATCTCAAAATTCCAAAAGATCATGCGACAAATGTTATGCAACAAAAATGACGTCACACTTATCCCTCAAAATACTGACGTCATATGGTGGGGAAATCCTAAAAATGCTGACGTCACTTCCGCTGCTATGTGGGGAGGGTATTATCTACTAACAGTTCTGGTCAGGAGGCTCTTTTCTTTAGGTTCCAGGTTGAGCATATCGATCAACAATGATTGTTTGATATGTGCATTTGGATCTTCCTTGTACTGCACAAGGTATTCCAGCTCGTTTGACAACAATTGCCTCCTTTCATTACACTGGTGACTGGACAGGTTATATGCTATAATATTATATCTCAAATTCAAATTGTCCAATGAAACTACAATAAGCTTACGGCAAGAACTGGATAAGTTTTGGAATGTGGAGAGCATAGGCACTAAACTGACAGTGTTGTTGACCAATTGGAAAATGACATTATTCATGACGGAACTAGGTACATCACAAAATTACCATTTAAACCTAATCATGAGGTGCTCCCAGACAATTTTAAGGTTTGTGAAGGATGGCTTAAATCACTAAAGAATAAGTTGGTTGCGAGTAACATTTTGCATGAGTACAATCAAATATTCTCGGAGTATGAAGAAAACGGTATAATAGAGCGTGTTTCATCAGCTGAGGTTGCAAGGGAAACAGGGCAAGTACACTACCTTCCCCATAGGCCGGTTATACGTAATGATAAACAGACTACCAAGATACGCACAGTATTTGATGCCTCATGTAAAGTCAGTGGTCCTCTTTAAATGAATGCCTTTATTCAGGTCCTAACCTGATAGCTAAGATTTTTGACATTTTACTTAGGTTTAGATTGAATAAGATTGGGGTATTAGCTGACATAAAACAAGCTTTTCTAAATGTTGGTATAGATGCACAGCATAGAGACTACCTTAGATTTTTGTGGTATGATTTGCAAGCTGAGGATGAGCAGGTAGTAATTTACAGGTTTTTAAGAGTAGTTTTCGGAATTACAAGTAGTCCATTTTTATTGAATGGGACCAAACGACATCACCTCAGTAATTACTTAGAGAAAGAAAGAGAAATAGCACAGCGAGTTATAGATGATCTTTATGTTGATGATTTGGTTAGTGGCTGTAATAAACTTGAGGAGGGTAAAGCCCAATAAAATACAAGTAAGGTAATTTTATCTGAAGCCAGTTTTAATTTGCGCAAATGGGTCACCAATGACAAAGAATTAGCAGGGTACATTGCGTCAAGGGAAAACGGAGACAACAATTTACTAGGTAAATATAATGACACGACTTATTTTGAGGCAACGTCACCAAACATCACTGTCGAGCATCAAGTTGTTTTAGGTGTAGGGTGGGACACAACCTCTGATGAATTAATTTTTCGTTTCGACGATTTGATTTCATAATGTGCCACCGTTAAACACACAAAAAGGAATATGTTGAGCACCCCAAGAGTTCGAACCGAGGAATTGTGAGTGTTTTTAAAGGAGCTACCGTAGTTTTTGAAGCTAAAAAACATACATGGACCGCGCCCTTATAGACAAGCCGTAGGTAGAGCATTTCTGCTTCTATTTTCGACCCATTAGGTTTCATTGCTCCAGTCACTGCCAAAATCAAAACCATTTTTCAGTTGCTTTGCAAAGATAAATTGGACTGGGATGAAATTATACCTGAAAAAATTGTGGATGTTTGGACCAAATTTGTCGAGGAATTAAAACAGCTCGCGGAAGTACGACATAGTCGGGTTTGTGTTTACACCTAATTTTTCCTCTGGTAGTCGTATAGAGCTTCATGGTTTTTGTGATAGCTCTAAAGAAGTTTACTGTGCAGTTGTCTACCTACGGCTTGTCTATAAGGGCGCGGTCCATGTATGTTTTTTAGCTTCAAAAACTACGGTAGCTCCTTTAAAAACACTCACAATTCCTCGGTTCGAACTCTTGGGGTGCTTACTCCTTAGCAAATTAATTTGTGAAGCACTCATAGGAGTTGAAAACTGAATTAATTTGCATGATATATTCTGTTGGACTGATTCCGAGGTTGCTCGTTCTTGGGTTAATGGGAAGGAGAAGAGTTGGGAGCCTTGGATTGAGAATAGGGTTGTGGCTATAAGGAAATTGGTGGATCGTGAGAAGTGGCATTTTGTTAGGGGTGAGGTAAATCCTGCCGATATCCCTACTCGACTGTCTTCAAATTTAAAAGATTCTTTTTCGGGCTGTTGGTTTAAGGGACCTTTGATGTTGTGGTCACAGGAGTTGGAAGTTGACAGGGTAGAAGCTAGTTGTGGTAATGAAAACTCTTTGGTTGGGAGGGTTGATGTAGAAGTTCCTACTGAAGTTGTCAACTTCAGTAACACGACAGAGAAGGGCACGCCTAACAACAGCAGATGATGTTCAATTAGTGCTGTCATTGATTGCACTCGATACAGCTCATTGAAGAACATGCTACTAACAACTGGCTACGTAATGCAATTTGTGAACAAT